TATTTATTAAATGAATAAATATATAGTCTACTGACTGTCTACCTAGATGACACTTTTACAATAGTTTACGTTGTTTACACGTAAACGTAGAGTATTATATTTTACGCGTAGATGCACAACCCTGTCTTAAAGTCAACACTTTCGTGTCAAACACGTTGCTTCAGTTTCATTTATCTCGCATTAAAATCCCATTCATTGTCAACAAACACGCCGCATTTGACGCAAAGTGTGTGTATGTGGGTGTGTGCGGTGCAATCTCGCAAACGTCAAACGACAAAAGACCACTTAACAAACAATTTACATGTTGAGCGAGAAGATTAAATGTTGACGATTAAACGGCGAAAATACCTCCGTATTCTTTTTAACTTTCTTTCTTTTTCACGAAACTGCAAATTGCAAATCGCGGATCAGGAGATACCGGTAGATCGAGCGAATGTACCGCAAAATATAAGTGACGCAGCCCGCGAGGGGACGCGATACGAACCTGCGAAGGAACGCGCGTTTAGGGGAAGCGATGACACTCGGAGCCAAAGACAAATTCGTCAATAGTCTTGTTATGCCGTTCATACTCGTGCTGGCCTGCTGCACGGCCTTTATGAGCGCCGCCATCTTTCCCAGACTACTCTCTCCAGTCTAGTTTGGTCTCTGCTCTGCGTTGTGAACAGTTGTGATTTGTGATTTTGTGAATGTGAACTGGGCCGTCCGGGCCGGGTTTTTCGTTCGCGCACGCGCGACGAAAACAGTATCAGAGTAAAGTATCTATAAATTATAATACGACGAAAAAGGTTGTATAACGTTGGTCGCCCAACACAATCTGTGTATAAAAAATGTTTTAATTTCTGAATACCCGCGGCGCAGGAAAGTTGAATTTTGCTATGTAGTTTACATTCACTTCTACAGGCGGCGCGCGGGTAATTTGCGGCAAGTAGGGAAAAGGCCGTCGTCGTGTCCTCTCTGCCCTAACCTAACCACTCGAGTTAACCTAATCCGACTTGGAGCGGTACTTGATAATGTGATGTCGCGTGGCGCGTGTTCTCGATAAACATATTTGTGCATTTGTCGAATGCATAGATTGGTCAGAAAGGCGCGAGAACGAGTTTGTAAAGTTTGTCTTTTTTTTTCTGGTTCCCGTTTTTAAGAAGGGCAATCGATTTATTAGCGACAGGGAAGAATGTTGCGGAGCGTCTTGAAGTCCAAGTTCGGTTACGACGATTTCAAAAATGACATTCAGAGGCAGGCTACTACCGCCATTCACAAAGGTTTCTGTTTATTAATCCCTTTCAGATCATCCACTTTTGTAGTAGCTGTAATATCTTCTTCGCACAGCTCTTTTTCCTTGTTCTTTCGCGACGGAGTATTTCGCGTTATTGAATTAAAAGCCGATCCATAAAACGTTGACGATTTTAGGAAAGCAAGATGTATTCGTGTGTATGCCCACCGGTTCCGGGAAGTCTCTGTGTTTTCAATTACCAGCGATTATGAAGGAGCAGAAAGTTGCGATTGTCTTCTCGCCGCTCTTAGCCCTGATGAAGGTATTTCTTTTTTTGTACATCATCTGTATTTAGTGTCAAGTCTTTGTCTTTTCATATATCTCTTTCGAATGAAAAAAAAACCATCTGGGAATAGGGAAAGAAAAATCTTAATAATACTTATTTAATAATACTTTGATAATACTTGAATACTTGATTTAATTTCTGCTTCTAGAATCAAATAGACTTTTTGGTGAGTAAGAAAATAAATGCCTGCTCTTTGAACTCCACCACTTCCAGCAAAGAGAGGAACGCCGTTATGAAAGATCTACTGTCAGACACACCAAAGATAAAATTATTGTACGTCACTCCTGAAATGGGAGCGCAGCAACATTTTCAGGTAGTTTCTCATTTTTATCAGATCTCTTGTTAGTCGAAAGGAATAACTGTATCCATTTTTATACTGTATTTTTATTGTTTTTCTATCTTATCACATTTGCACGAATGATAAGAAAATAATTTTAAAAGCTAGTTAGAAAGATAGTATATCAGGATTTTTTTATTTAAAGTCCTTGTGATCTTTCTTATCGCGACATTTGTTTAATTTACAGGAGACCATAACTCAAATGCAAAAGAAGAAAACACTTTCTTATTTTGTTATCGATGAAGCTCATTGTTTAAGCGAATGGGGTCATGATTTTAGGCCAACTTACAGACAACTGGGAACATTTAAAAAATTGTGTCCCAAGATACCGATGATTGCGTTAACGGCGACTGCTGCAAAACAGGCGAGACAGATTTAAGAAGATATTAATTTATAATTTTGATGATTATCACAGTTATAACAGTGTTAAATATTAATACAGGTAAAGGATGATATTCTCCAAAGCTTGCACATGAAGGAGGCAGTGATATTTTCCCAGCCGGTATTTCGTTCTAATTTATATTATGACGTGTGGTTTCAAGAGGTGTTGGACAAACCACTGGTACATCTGAAAGACTTTATTTTGAAGGCACTTGGTCCGCCAGATGATTCCATTCCTAAGGTTAGTCAAATTCCGCTATTGTTTTAATAGTGATATTCTGTAAATGGTATTCTATATAAATTATACAGAATAATATTCTGGATCCTTCGTGATATTTTTAGCACAAAAGAAATTGTGGTATCATTTATTGTAGAAAGAAGGAAGCGACTGAAACTGTTGCGCATAAATTGACTCTCGCGGGTATTTCTACCCTTGCGTATCACGGAAGTAGGTGATTTAATACAGCATGCTAACATACAAACACTTGCAAGAAAAATGATACTATTTTATTTTAACACTTGAATAGGCTTAAAAGCTCAGGAACGTAACGAAGTGCAAAATAAGTGGACGGCAGGTGAAGTGCCTGTCATCGCGGCAACGTGTAGTTTCGGGATGGGTGTTGACAAAGGATCCGTTAGGTAGTCTTAACATTCTCGGAAAGCGATATTACATGCCGGAGAAAATAAAAATATGCTTGTTGTATGAATGTGCACAGATTTGTGGTTCACTGGACGGTACCTCAGAATGTTGCGGCATATTATCAAGAATCGGGAAGGGCTGGCAGAGACGGCAATCCGGCATTCTGCAGGATTTATTTTAGCAACGAGGAATACGGGCCCATTTCGTTTCTTATCAAAGAGGAAATCAGCCATAAGAACTCGGAACTTGTGAAAGTCAAATGGCAGAATTTTGAAAAAAGCGTTGCGTACTGTTTAGAGGCAAAGTACGATATCTTTATTCCTTCGCAAGAATTAAATTATAGTAGTAAATTGAAATTGAAAAAATGTGCTTATTTAGAAGCTTTTAATATATAGTAGTAAAATTATAGTAAAAGTACAGTAGTTTAAATTATAGAAGTCAATTGAAAAAATGCGTTTATTTAGAAGTTTTTAATATATAGTAGTAAAATTATGGTAGTTAAGTAAGAGTACAGTAGTTTAAATTATAGTAGTAAATTGGAAAAATGCTCTCGTTCAGAAGTTTTTAATATTACGTATTTTTTTCAAATTTTGGAAATAAAGAAATGAATGTAGTAAAAGTAAAACAGGATTCTGGAGATATATTGAGTGCCTGAAGAATCGCCTGACATTTTTTGTGTGTTATTTTAAGTATATTGGTATTAATTATATTCTCTCGTGTGTTATTGTGATCTACAGATGTCGGCACGCGGTGTTCTCTAAATATTTCGGGGATTCTCCACCGCCTTGCAAAAACAGATGCGACGTTTGTAAGAACAAGGATGAAGTACGAGCGAGGATCGCTCAGTTTGAGATGTGTCAGACTAGATCCAAAAAATCCCGAAGTAATATGGGCAGTGTAATGCGAATGGACTGCAGTGATGATGAAATGTATGTGAAAGATCAATTGACCAATTTATATCTGCAACGAATATATTTTTAGCATCGTTAAATGATGCTCTCATAAGTGTTCATAATTGTATAATTACAATGCAGGAATGCATTTAATGAGCCGCAAGAATCGAGGGAGAAAATAATAGCGGCTGAAAAGCGAGAGACAAGGGAACTTATTATGGAGCAGTTTGCACTTCGGCGCGGTACACCTAAAGAGGACGAAGTGAGTTTGTGAGTGAATTTATTTTAATATTATTTGCTTCTTTTTTTTTTATTCGTTTCCCGTAGATTAAGCGGCGGAACGTTAAGGACGCGAGAGCGGCGCATGTTCGTGCAGCCAGTAGTACAGATAAAAAAATAAAGGGTTTAACTGTTCAAGTAAGACATCACGCATCGTCTTTTTGTATGAAATATTATCAATACTTTTACACAATTTTTATTATTTTTCTCATTGTCTAAAGATACGAGAGCATTTTTACAATGAATTGAAAGTAGCGTTACTCGAAAATTATCAACAATCGGAAATTAATTCGGAACAGTCTGAGGAGAAAAATATGCACGACGTGGCCAATAGTATAGAATATAAGATATTTTCCAGTTCCAAAGTGCCAAATAAGTACAAATTTGACATGTCTAAGTTGGTATGTAATTTTTATAGATATCTTTATACATCTTCTATAATTATCTTTTCATGCATAGATAATATCAAAAGAACTGAAATGACTCGAACGAATATATGAATTATTTTATATATTTATGTAATAAAATTTTCTTGTATAGAACTATCTACTAGATATCGAAATTAATAACATATTTATTATTTCGATATAAATATCCTTTACTTTATTTGCTTCTCATACAGATTTCGTCGATACGAAAATGTACCAATAATAATACTGTGTACGAAGCAATACGCGACTATAATGAGACTGAATTGCATAATTCTGAATTTAACAATTCTAACAGTGCCGATATGTCCAATAGTGAACAAGTAACAGGTACTGTCGAAACAGGATTTAGCGGAAATGTTTGCCTGTCGGGCAATTATAAAGAGACTTTCCCTTCCGCTTTCAAAACTGCATCGGAGATTATAAATGAAAAAAGGTTACGAATATCCACATCAGACAAGGATGTAAAGGCTCAATCTGAAGAATTATTCGTTAATAGCGGTGCACATCAAAGTACATATAAAAACGATAAATCACAGGCGCAAATGTTAGGTTTCATTTGTGCGCGAACAATTCACGAGAGCAATGTCATTAAGTCTAGTGCAAATTCCTCTAAATCAAAAGGTCGCAGAAGTAAGGTGGATAAGAGTGTCAAAAGAACAACTAAAACAGTTTACGAGCAGATTTTAGCATCAGCACAGTCATCGTCGAAGAAGACTGTGAACGAAAGGAGAGATGTTTCTTCCGAAACAAAATTGAAAGTAGACAATATTGTTAATTCTATTAAAACTAAAAGAGAGGGTGAAATTAAAACTGAAAGTAAAAAAAGAGGCCACGAACTCGTTGAATGTCACGGGGATGACATAAAATCTGCAAAGAAAAAAAGAATTGTACCTAACGAATACGTCGATAAGACTAATGATAATATATCCGATAAAAATATCGATAAAAAGACTTCGGACGATAAAGTCAATACGAAAAGGATTAGAAAGAGTACAGACACGTTCATTAATATTAATGCTATAAATGATGATTCATCAAAAACGACAGATAACACAAGAAAGCACTGCGAAGCAAAAGTTAATGTGGAATTAAAAAGAAAGGAGGAAATTGCGCATTCGTCTCGTTTAAAACCTCACAATAGCAATAGCAATAGTAACAGGCTGAAAGTGCCCGCAGACAAAGCGACGCAATTTAAAACGGCGGAAATTCTAAAATCGTATCTAATGAAATACTACCCGTCCGAACGACTTCCGGATAGGGCGACATTTTCAAAGACTTGCAGAGAAATGCATTACAGTATGCTGATGAAGAAAATATTTGGTACGACAGGCGTAAAAATTTATAATATAATTTTTATGGAATGCATTCTGAATTTCAGAACGTTTGTTGCAATTGACAAATGATATCTCTGATTTTAGATAAAGAGGGAATACACGACTTCGTTGTAAGCTTTATGAGTCAATCTTAAATGCGCTTATCTTACGTGCTCCTACTTTCTGCTGTGTAAGCGATAGGAGAATGGTGTTTATAATCGATCCAATTATGAATAAATTTTTCTATATGTATTTACAAATTCTTACATTGTATTTGTTGAATATCTTTTAATTTAATATCTGGTTAATTGTACCTATCTATAGAACTAAACAAAACTTTTTTTTTTTGGGACTTTGTTGAACTGTGTGATTTTATGCAATCAAAATTATAAATGGAATTTATTTTACTCGTAAAATGCAAAGGATATATTATTGGAAGAGAAATAAATTTTGTATAATATCAATATATATGTATATATTTCATTCAGCTTGATTATTATCACACATCTAGATCTTCTTTTTAGGATATATCACCACACTTAATAAATGTAAAAAAAGAGACATTCTCTGAAATGTATGTCGTATACTTGCAAATAACATTACGAAAACCTATTCTTATGTCTAACACGTATTTTATTAAACATATAATTGTGAGCACATACTTAATTATTACATAGTACACATTATTAATACATTTGATATTAAATTCATATCCCTAATATTTGTAATAAATAAGGCAAGACATTTCGGATAAAAATACCTCTTACAGCGAACTGTCTATCGTTTATGTACTTAATTATATTCATTTATGATTTATACTTAATGACTCTTTTGCTACTCCTCTATAGTGCAAAATTTTCTTGCTGGCTCTCACAAGAAATAACAAACATAAAAAAACAAAGTTTTTTTTACAAGTGACAGATAGATACGGTCTTATCTACGTTATTTTTTTTTTTACAATTCGTGTTTAGCATTAAAGACACGTGCGAAATTTTTTCAGTAACATCTCGGCGGTGCACGTTCATATTTAATAGTTCACACTTTATTTACATATTTACAATTGAAGTAAAAAAAAAAAAAAACACTGCGATGCGAATTACAATTATGCATATCACTATACGTATAGCAAGGGTCATTGACTCACATTATGTCACATTACAGAAGCTGAATGATGGGCTATTCCCAGTTCCGATTTTAGGTGATAACTTAAATATTTGGCGCAGCCAAATGTCGTCCGGTCAAAAACTATTAGAGCTAATACGTAAAATAATTTACATTGCGGGAAAAGAGGCCAAGTTGAACGATGTCCAAGTCGACTTTGTCCTCTCCGCACATTCTCGCCATGAGATCGCGTTACGACAATCGTGAATCGCTTTGCCCATGTGGAGAGGAAAGTGTTCTATAATGTGACACATGGGCCCTGTATTTGAGATCTCTGGATATACAGAGTGTATCTCTGGATATACAGTCGCTTAATATTACTACTTGGAATATCTCTGTGGAATTTCAGACCAATGAAACGACGGTAGTTCCGCCATCATTTGACAAATGGCAAGTTTTCAGCAAATAAAGTACTTATTGTAAACAAGAGAAGAAAGTACAAAATTGGAAAGTTGAATAAATTAAAAGACTCGTTTCCAAGTGGTAATATTAAATGGACTAATTTGCAGATATTTATGCGGTGTACGATAATACAATACATAACTATACGCATTTAAGAAGTGATCGGCCTTATTATAATTTTCTAAAGAGTTAAAATCATTAAATTTACGTTGATTCTTTTAATGCATTCTTTGTCTTGTCATTCGTTAATGGAAATTTATTAAATTATCTCTAGTTCTAAACATACGTTATGTGTAGAAATTGAGCGATCGTCAATTTAATGTCTATTAACTACTACGTATTGTGAGACTATTCGGAATGGATTTCAATTCCATTTGAAATTGTTCAAATATTCCCCATAGATTTCTATTGTATTTTCCCAAGAAAATGGAATCATTCCGATCGGAAGTCATTCCAAACAGCCTCCGTAATACGCCCTGAATCGAACTTAGCGCTAAATACATATATCGATGTATTCCTATGTTAACATAGTACTCCTCTATGTTATGTATACATTATCGAATACATCTATATTATGTCATATTTAAAAGAAAATACTGTTCCGAAATAAGAGAGAGCAAAACGATACAATCACAGACATGATTACTAGCATGTCATATTATTTGACGCACAACAATGGAAGTTTACTTCCATGAAATAATGAAGCACCATTGGTATATTTAGTATGAATATCTACAGGGGTATCTTCATGTCGCAGTCATCATGAAAAAGTTTCAAAGATTTTTTTTAAAAGAAGTTTACGTAGAAAGATTACTCCTTTTTAAAAATAATTAAAAATTCTAATTATCTTATTATTTGTTTGATTTAGAAAAGTTAATATAATTTCTACGAAAAGTAAAGGATAGAAATGAAATGGAAAATAACAGATGACCGTTATTCCAATAAGATTAACATGATTCCGACTACGTAACGATATGATTCAGCGCACATAAAATACCTTCGATGTAATAGCGATGTTATGTGTCCCTTCTTCTTTTCTCTCTTTCTTCCATTCTAATTTTTCTTAATTTTTATTGCAACTGCAATGGGTAAATAACATGTTTTTTTTTCTTGCCAATCGTAAAAGTTTTTGCGCATAATTCCAACGTAGACAACCCGATTACTTCTTGGGTTGTTTAACATATGCTTAGATCACTGCTTAGATCATTCCTTTAAGAATTATGTGATACATCAAATCGATGAAGGTAAAATGTTTATAAACAGAATGTATGTATTAAGCATTTCTTCCTTAAAAAAAATTCAATGCAAAATTTTTTTCAACAAAAATCAAATTTTTTTTTTAAAGGACTCTTCAATTATTATAAAAAAATATTTTTCTTAAAAGGGAAAGAAACAGGAAAAATTGAATTTTTAAAAAAATTCTGTACCAAGTAAAACATCATAGTATATGATACGTCTTGTAACTTAACGTATAAACTATGATAAAATGTTACAAACAAGCTTTGTTCAATTTTAGAGAGACGTAGATAGACAAATAACATTGCTATTAAAATTACATATCTATAAACTACGTTTAGCCTGTGAAAAACAATTTTCATAACAATTGTTAACGATGGTTGTCGAAAACACGAAGTACCGAAAAATGATCGGAGGAAAATTTCAAAAAATATTTTTTTCATTAATTATTAGATAACAATGTCAGATATATCAAAAGTATAAAAAAATGGAAGCGCTTATGTATCGATTTAATCGAAATCGATTAAATCGAATCATGTGACTTTGGATACCCTGACATCACTTTAACTTGTATCTATTCACCGCGGGCATCCAATAATATATTAAGTATAACAGTGTATAGTTATAGCAAAATAATATACTTTACTATATTTTCACTGTTTCGCCAATGGCAACTAGTTAAGAATAATGGCCAGAAAGCTATTGAAGAAATAATGTACTGTCCGCTCGCATTACAGCTCGATCACTATAATACATAATTACACCATTAACGTCATATTCAGATCGCCGGAGGTCAAAAGCGTGCTGTACACGTCCGTGTCTTTCGCCTTCGGATTGGCTTGCTTGTCGATCTGCGCATTCTGCGCCTTTTGTCGCTTCCTCTCCATTTCCAGCCACACCGACGACGATTTTTGTGTCTGGTGAGACAGTATCTTCACGACGCTCCAGACAAGCGACACCGCCCCGGAAAGGAACAGTAAATACATGATTATTTTTTCCACGACCGGCATGAAGTTCAGATAAAACCAGAAACGGACGTTCATGCTACTCGGTAGCTTGGACATTCCCTGAGGAGAAAGGAATAGCTTTTGTTATTTTACATTAAACACAATTTCACGAAATGAAAAAAAGTCGTCAATGTCATCGAGTATATGCAGTTACGAGTCAGTATACATACATAATTATATGTGATTAACGGAAGTATAATTAAAAATTGAGATACGAAAAATGTCAACACGGTCCTAAAGCGGATCTTGGTGCTTGAAAATCTTATAATACGTGAATCTTACAGTTATAATAATAATATAAAATGTTCAAGCACCAAGATCCGCTTTACTATATATTGGCATTTTCGTATCTCAGTT